TTCAAAAATTAGACCGAATTAGGGTTAAATCACCTTATAAGAAGGAGATTAAAACCCTAATTGATCAAGAGACTTTCAGAGTTGTCTGGAGCAGACTTTTAAGAGCTTTTGGTGAGATCCAAAGAGTTCAAGGAGTTCTAAGTCTCGTTTTCTCGAAGCACAAAATCGAATAGCAGATTCGGGTCCTAGCAGACAAGTTTCGATCGTTGGAATCCATCCCGAGGTGTGGATACGTGTAGAGGGCTTGTTAAACTAAACAGAACAAACGTTGCGAGCTTTCCCCAGCCGTCAATGGAGTACAAGGTACCACAGATGAAGGATTAACGGGGACCTGCAAGCTTTCCCCGGTGTCCGGTGGAAGAAGAAGCACTCCAGATCGGTCGACATTAGATTGAGTCACAGATGAGTGTTGAGGAATAGACCGCTGGAATGGGGAAGAGGGGTTGCGAGTCTTGTGATGAGACTTTTTCTTCTTCGCCATAGTTTGTTGACTTCAGGAGACGGCGGACGAATGGCCTGCCCACTGTAGTGAAGTAATCTAGGGATTTCAGAACCGAGGACGGAAATCGCCTATTTTCTCTCTCCCCATCCCTGTGTTAATGGTTTTTCTTATAAACCCATAGTCTTACTTTAACAGACATCAAATTCATACCGTTCAGCGAAGGTGCTAGGAAAGGGTTTTTTACCCAAATAACCCACTTGGGTCGCATCTATTTCACCTGTACACCACCGAAAACATAACACATTTTTTTGCCTGTGAAAAGACGAAATTACGCTTAATGAATTACGATATTTATCCGTTCGAAAACAACTTCGTTATTACGACTTCGTAATTAAGTCTAAATATAGTTACAATTGATTCTAAAAAAGGTGGCAAAAAAATCATCTGTCTTATTTTAGTTGTATATCAGTTATATGTTAGTCGTAATAAGGTCGCAAAAAATAAAACGAAAAGGGTATTTCGGACTTTTCCAACCGAAAAGTGGGTTAAAATTGAATTTTTTTTTTCGGTGGTGTACACTGAAATAGATGCGACCCAAGTGAGTTATTTGGGTGATTTTCCCGCTAGGAAATGCGTAGGCGATTAGTTTGCGTTAATGGAAGCAATAGTGGCGCTGGCGATATTCTTGCAGCACCTAAACTTCGAGCTGGTCCCCGACCAGAACATCAGCATGACCACCGGAGCCACCATTCACACCACCAATGGTTTGTATATGACGGTCAGTCCAAGGCGGAGGTGAAGGTTGAGATGATACGGAGTTGTTTTGGTACGTCGGCTCATACCGGAGCAGTGATCACAATGAAAAAGCATTATAACTTTTTTATTCTATGTTTTTAGCCAATTTTCATTTTATATTTTTATATTATAAGGAAAATGTGATAAGTTTTTTGCTGATTAAAAAAAAACACCACCACATAAAATTATTTATTCCTTATCATCTTATTCTTCATTAATATATTACTCCATTTTCTCTCTATTGAGTTTTAATAGCCAATAAATATTAGAAAACTTGCCACATAGATGATGAGTTGGAGATGATGTGTCCTCACCATATTCCTTCAAACACAACTTTTAATATATATAGATATAGATTTGGTAATCAATAAGATGTCTAAACGTATTTAGGATTAATATATCTTTTTTCCCTAGGAAAAAAAAACTCGTAAGTTCAATTATAGTTAATACCAAGTCGTTCGGGTAAATATTTGAATCTCAATTAAGTTTCGACATAAAAACTTCACAATTAACAGATTCCGTCTCCAGGACATTGAATTACAATGTTTACGAGTTTATTAGTGAAATTACAATATGAAAGCTACATTAAGTGAACCCATAACAAGAATTACATATTTAAGCCAAAACTTTGTACAAGAAAGTATAGATAGATCATAGAGTATCGGAAAAATATTCAAACTCCATATTTAAGCCAAAACTTTGTGATGCCAAGGTCCGACAGGAGCCGGATTGCCAAAGTCTTCCCAAATGTATTTTGGCTGAAAATTTCTTGTAATTTCTTTAACAAGAAAAAAAAAGTTGAAACTATATTTGCTAGGAACATTGCTAACTGTATGAAATAACCGAATTTACACATAAACGAATTATATTGATTTAATTTTTTAATATAATTTTGATTTAATTGAATTATATATCATAAAATATTGTAATATATAACATATAATTTTATTAATAAATTATATAAATATCAATTAACTTTTATTTAGCAGAGAGAAATCTCTCTCATTTTTTTTGTTTGTTCTATGTTTCTACCTTTTCTGGATTTTTCTTACGAAATCCTCAATCTCTCGACTATGGTGACTCCTGCTCCACCGACGACTGGGGAAAGATCTTCAGACCCCTCCATCCGGGTACCCTCATCTCCCTCAACTCTGGTTCCACAAAAACCCTAAAATCCTAGTGCACTCGATGGTTGATTTCCCTCCTCTGAGTAAGAAACCAACTCCTAACCAAAATCAAACTCCTAGTCTAGTTGGAAGTCCGATTAAACCTTCTGATACTCAGTTTCCATGGGCACAAAGGCTACGAGATACCTCCAGGAACCTGCGAAGATTAGCTATCCCGACGATCTCGGCTGAGGGAACGCCCCGCATCCGGGTTCCTAGCTTGGTTCTCTTGGAGACCTCTCAAAACTGGAATGGCTACCTTGTGGGCCAGTTTTACGGAATCACTCCATCGGGTTCAAAGCTGTATCAAATCTTAAATCCGATTTGGGGGAGGAAATCTCGAATACATGTGAGGCGGATAAACAATTCATCTTGTCTATTTCATGTTCCTGATCTTGCTACCCGCGATTGGATCCTTGAAGTTGGTATTTGGAGAGCTGCTGATGTGATGTTTACTGTGACGGAATGGTCGGCCACTGCTACTTTCCGAAAGACGACATTGACTACTGCTCCGATCTGGGTAAAGTTCACAAACATTCCAGCAGAGCATTATTCATTGAAGGGCATCAGTTACATAGCATCTGGAGTGGGTGAACCCCTACATACAGAACGAATGCAACTGGACCCTTTGAACATAGGCGGAGCGAAGGTTAAGATTGAGGTCCAACTTGGATCTTCGTTGCCCAATACTGTTGAAATTGAGGATGAGCAAGGAGGTATTATTGCGGTAAATGTATCCTACGCTTGGATTCCACCAAAATGTGATATTTGTGCTGAATATGGACATAGGAAGCAGAGTTGTCCAACAAAATCTGTTGTGAGCAACACTGAGCACTCAGAGGAGAAACCCCAAGATCCGCCATCTGAGGGGACTGCCGAGGAGCAATCGGATTTCACATTACCACCAATCACAACCACTGATACCGTCGTATCTCATGTTAGCCCCGCTAATATCCCTCTTCCGGAATCATCGGATCCTAGTCGCCACCACAAAACGGTGCCTTCTATAACAACTCCATGTATGGACTCCTTTCAAAATACCCCTTCTCCGCATGATCCAGACCTTGCGTCACCTACTTCCACCAAATCGGTTCACCACATAAATGGAAATACTACTTGTAAAAAATTTCGTTTTGACTCAGATGAAGAACTAGTGGCAAAAGCACAAAGAATTCTACGAGCTCGTTCCTCCACTGCTACTAAAGTCCAAGGAGTTCAGCGTGTTCTACGTCCTCGTGCTGTCAATATACCTCTAGATCCCACGGATTTCACACTGGTCGGAAAAGTTCGAAAGGGAAAAGGTAGACTTTAGTGTCTCTTACCATCCAACATCGACCACTTGCGACCCACGTTGCATAACCCTTCTAGTGCTCACTTTCCGACGACTTACTATTTAACTTTCAATCTTTTTTAGTTTATTGTTCTCGTTTGCTATTATGAATTCTAATTATGAATTCTAATATCTGTATTACCTTTTGGTAATCTCTTTTGTACGGTTATTTACATATATAATATTTACCATTACCAAAAAAAAAATTTGATGTCTGTTAATTGAATAATACACTTAAAAAAAATTCAAAAAGACTTCCTTACATCGGCCACAACTATTATTAAAGTAAATGATATTGATTGTAATTTTGCAAAAAGAAATTAATTCTAAAAATTTGAATCAGCCAATATATGACAAAAATATTCGTGGTATATGTCTATGATAGAATCAAATGAATTCAAAGTTTTAATTAGTTACGCCTTATACTATGTTTATAGTAAAAAAATTACAAATCTATTTAAAGAAAAAATTGGCCAACTACTCATTAGCCCACTAAAACAAAAAAAACGGTTGCCAAAAGTATTAATTGACAATTATTATCTACGTTTTTTTTATTAATTCCAATTTGTTAGTGTTAGGGTTGATGTGGTTAGTATTTGTGTTTAACTAAAAGTGCAGGAAAGATTTGATTTGTGTTGAAGGTTTCAGAAGATTATTGAGATAAAATCAAATTATGAAGAGATAAAATCAAATGAGGAAGTTGAAGTTGATTCAAACTCCTTGGAGCTAAGTGATTTGGAAAGAGATAAATACAAAAGAGATAGAAATAGACACAAAGAGGATCTTGAGAAGATTAAATCAAATCTCAACAAATCAGATCAAAACCACGTCTTGACATCTATAAAAGGAGGAGCCTGGAGCATGAAGAGAGCACGCACAAAAAGAGAGAGAGCTTGAGAAAGTTTAGTCTTTTCTAAGAGAGTTTTTATTCTGGTGAGGGTCACTTGAGAAAACGTTAGTTTTCACTGAGGGTGAGCCCGAAAATCATAATTGTGGTGAACCTTTCAGGGGAGTGTGGAAACACTTGGGGTTGCGTTTTGCTGATAGAATTTACGTTGTAAAGGGGAACAAACTCAGGGGAGTTGTGTTCGTGGGTTGGATTAGCTCGAACAAAAAAGAGTTGTAATTCACGATCTTTACAAGTGAATAGAATCAGTGGATTGTTGAAGAGTGCGTATTCGTTAACTTTTTCAATTGGTATCAGAGCGTTGGTCACTGATCGTAGGATTATTCCTCTCATATTAGTGTGGGACAAGCAATACGCACAATGCAGACACTAAAGGAGTTACAAGCCTTTGGAAGATCGTTGTTGCTTGATGCAGACAACTATGGGTATTGGAAGGTCAAGGTTATGAACCTTATCAAAGGAATTGATGAGGATGTCTGGATCACAGTTCAGAAGGGGTGGACGATTCTAAAAGTCATCATTGATGGTGTGGAGACGCTTAAGCCCAACGAACAATGGACGGTGAATGAAAAGAAAGTTTCAACACTAAATTCAAAAGCACTTTCAATCATCTTCAACACTGTGGATTCAGATGAATTCAAACAGATCCAAGCATGCAAAACCGCCAAAGAAGCTTGGGATACCTTGGAATTGATACATGAAGGAACATCAAGTGTTAAGACGAAAAGGCGTGACATTGTCAAACATCAGTTTGATAAGTTGGAGATGGATGAGGATGAAAGCGTGAAGGAGTTTTGTGGAAAACTCAGTGCATTGGCGAATGAAGCTGCAACTTTGGGAAAGCAGTACAAGGATAGTAAACTGGTCAACAAATTAATCATGAGCTTACCGGAGAAATACATACCTCAAATTGCTGCATTCCAGATGGTACACAACACTGACAATGTAAGTTTCAAAGAAACCATCGGTATTTTTGCTGCTCATGAATTAGAGTTGAATATTATCAGAAAAAAGTCAGTGCCACCTCGCAAAAAAGGAGTAGCCCTTCACGTTCCAGAAGATGACTCGCTTCATATTACAGCTGAAGACGATATGTCACTTATATTGAAAAAATTCAATAAGTTTTTCAAGAAAAAAGCTTCATATCCCCAAAAGCAAGAAGCAAAAGAGACCAACAGATGTTTGGAATGCAAGGGAAAAGGACAGTGGAAGGCAAATTGTCCTAGTGTTGCCAAAAGAGAAACTGTCTTGAAGAGCCTTCAAGAGATACAATGCTATGAATGTCAGGGCTATGGTCATACGAAAAAAGAGTGTTTGGAAAAATCCAAAGGAAAAGGAAAAGTCATTATCAATCATGACAGCTCTGAGATAGAATCTGAAGAAGAAGAAGAGGAAGAGTTATCAAACTTATGTGCATTCATTGGGATCATAGATGAAGAATCTGATGATGAAGAGGTATATGTGAACGAACTCTACAATGAGACAATGAAGATCTACGAGATTAACATGAGACTGGTCAAGGAGAAGAAGGAATTGGAGCTGCAACTAAAAGAAGCAAAGACCGAAATAGTGCTACAGGAAGAGGAGATCACTCACTTGAAACGACAAATAGAAGAAACAAAGAAGAATGTACGAATGCTTGGAAGTGGAACAGAGAAGTTGGACTATCTGCTCGGCGTGGGCAGACATGATCCTAGACATACAGGGCTTGGATACGTGGGCGAGTAAAGCAAGAACCAAGGTAAGTTTGTGTCAGGAGGAATACTGGGCGAAGAAGTACCTGACAAAATCCGAAGGGACCCTCACTCCAGACCTGACTTTCAACCAATGTACTCTAGACCTGATTTCCATACAAGGCACTACCAATCTGACTTCCAGTCGAGGAGAACATACCAAGAGAGATGGAGCTGTTTTTTTCTGTGGTAAAAAGGGTCATATTCGAGCTCATTGTCATCATCTAAAAGCCTATCGGGATAAAGGTAAGTATAATCACTATCCTTTTACTATGAAACAGATTTGGATAAGGAAGGATGCTCTTAACTATAATGTGGCATTGACCTCTGAGCAAAGTAATCATGATAACATATGGTACCTTGATAGTGGTTGTTCAAGGCATATGACAGGGAAGAAGGAGTTGCTGTCAAATTTTGTCAGTGATAAGAAAGGAGACGACGTGACATTTGGTGATGGAAAGAAGGGAAAGATGGTAGGAAAAGGTTGTCTCAATATTGAAGGAATGCTTAATCTCAAAAATGTGAATGTTGTGCAGGGACTTAAGGCAAATTTGATCAGCATTAGTCAACTTTGTGACAATGGTATGAAGGTAAGATTCACTCATGATGCGTGCTATGTGTCTAATGAAAAAGATGATTGTGTGTTGACAGGAAAACGAACAACAAACCACTGTTATACCTGGACAGAAAAGAACAAAAATCAGCCAAAGTGTTTCAAAGTATCCACCACTGACAAGTCAGGGGATGTTCACAGAATGTCAGAGCTCACTCACGAAGAGAAAATTGTACCCAAGTCATGTCGACAAACTCGAGTTCAACACAGGAGGATAAATGAAATACAAACCGAGAGCACCAGTGGAAAGAGGTATGGATTCGTATGTGTTGATGGTTTATTCAATTGGACGAATTGTTTTAGGAAACATGTTGAAAAGAAACACTCGCGATTGAGTATGTTCCCACAGAATATCAACTGGCTAAACTCTTAATAAAACCACTTGACATGAACAGATTCATGTGCTTGCAGAAATCTGTAGGTGTTGGGGAACAATAAAAATTTTTCTGAGTACTCGAGTCAGGGTTCCCTCAGTCTTTGGTAGGTACCACTCGCTAGGATGTATAAGAAAAGTTGCAGTTAATTGATACTCCGCTGTCAACTAATTTGGTTGATATGAGTGGACTGTGTTTACAGTGACTCGGGTCTAAATTGTGAATTGAGATAGTTAAACGATGGTCTAAGGGCAGAAAAGGTCAAAGATCTTTTCATACTCCTCTGTAAAAATTATATTTTACAAGAGTATACCGTGTTTTCCATATAATTGTCTCCCCGTAAGTTCTTCAAATTTAAAAAAAAAAGAAAAGAAAAGAAAAGAAAAAGAAAAAACAGTAAGGGGGAGGAACGAAAAAAAAAAGAGAAAAAGGGAAAACCGAGTAGTCTGGACTTACATGGTAAGCTATTCTCTTTGATTTCAACGTCCTAGAAGTTCAAATAATTGCCCAATATTTTTGTTTTGAATAGATGAGTGCTCCTTCATAGATTGTGAGAAGACCCTGACAAATGACTCTTGAAAAATCTGGTTTATTTAAAAAAAAAGAAGGTTTTATTATTTTTGCAAAAATGTGATGAGTTTATCTTGAGTTGGTTAAGCGAAGTCGGATACGCTACATGGGTGAATGTGGGAGCTGAAAAATCTGAAGTGTATCTTGCAAGTTACTCCCTTGAAACGGTGCTACGTTTGTGTTTTCTCCTATTCTGTTTGTTTTTGTTTCTCTCTTGAAACTAACCTACAGAAAAAGAAACTCGACGTTTTGTGTTTTTACTCACACACAAAGGGGGAGAAGGTATTGAAGATGACCCTTCACAATGCGTCAGGTGACCCTGAGTAGTTTAACGTATGATTTGATTGCTTGAACTCAGGTAAGTGTGTGATATGAAACTTGCTTTAGAATGTTTTGAATTTCAACTCATACACATAGGGGGAGATATGGATCAAGGACTTCTGATGACAAGTGAAGTACACCGAGCAACGGACAGAGATTATTTTCTAATGTTTGTTTGTGTATGAGTAGAAAGTAAAAAAGGGGGAGATTGTTAGGGTTGATGTGGTTAGTATTTATGTTTAACTAAAAGTGCAGAAAAAATTTGATTTGTGTTGAAGATTTCAGAAGATTATTGAGATAAAATCAAATTATGAAGAGATAAAATCAAATGAGGAAGTTGAAGTTGAGTCAAACTCCTTGGAGCTAAGTGATAGGGAAAAAGATGTTGGGATTCCTGGGATCTCATGAGCGAATCATATTTCTAAGAGATCGATTCTAGGGTTTGCGCAGCGGATGTAAAACAAAAATTTAATGAAATCCTAGAACCATGCTTTTATGAATCGTAGAAACGTTAGAACGCTTACCTCAATCGATGCGGGGTCTGTCTCAATTGAAGAATCCGTTTGATCACGAAAGGGAGGAAGATTACCTCACCCTCTACACGTATCCACACCTCGGGATGGATTCCAACGGTTGGAACTTGTCTGCTAGGACCCGAATCAGCTATTCGGTTTTGTGCTTCGAGAAACCGAGACTTCGATCACACTCTTGAACCTCTTGGATCTCACCAAAAGTCTGTCAAAAGAGTTCACAAGTCGGCCAGCAAAAACTCTTCCTTAATTAGGGTTTTAATCTCCTTCTTATAATGGGATTTAACCCTAATTTGGTCTAATTTCGAAAAACCCGAAGCCTGGAACGGACGGTCCAGAAATGCACGTGGACCGTCCGTTCCAGCACGTAGAACGGACGGTCTGGCATTAGTGAACCGTCCGTTCCAGACCTTCTGGAACGGACAGTCCGTTCTGGACCGTCGTGTCTGGCTCGGCGGACCGTCCGTTCTGGACTTCTGGTTCGTCCGTTCCAGACCCTTCCGTCTTGGTTTTTCAGTCGTTTTCTCGTGCGTTTCATCCTTCCCTGCGTGTGTGACCCTGTAGGCTCATTCGATATAGCAATATAACCCGAAATCTCTATTCCAGATATACAAGTCATAGGCGGTCTATAGCAAGACACTATGACTACCTATCTCGAATAGAGTTTGTTCGTGATCTTACGAATGCCAGTGATGATTCCGGTTGATGATCCTTTTGTATCGCGATATCATATGTCGAACATAAGGCATGGACAAGCCACCTTATCTGATTCGACTGCTTTCTCGTTCACTGAGTTCGACTGTCTGAAATAGACGACGCTCGTCTATAGTGCGGCCACACATTTCTACAGTCTCGCTCACACGAGGGGCCCAACGATATCTCTCTCTTTTATGAGAGGTACAAATCCCGTCTTGACTACCTATAATCCAGCACATGATTCGTTTCGTACCTGATACACGCCTTTATGGTCCTCCTGTTATGCAGGACGTTTGACGTATTCAAAGCACGTAACTCCTCATGTTGGATTCTGTAGATATCTCAGGTCTTAGGATCCAATCATGGAACCGCCATATGAGATTCAAGTCATGACGC